GGGGCCGGCAGCGGGCAGCACGCAGGCCGCGGGGGTAAAATGCGGGCTGCGTGCGCGGTGCGCGGGCCGGTAGCGGGCGATCGCAAGGCCGACGGGGCCGCTAAGGGGCGAGCGGCGGGGTCGTTCGAGGCGCTAAGGGGCGGCGCGACGGGGCCGTGAGGGGCCTCTAGGTCAAATGCGACGGGGCCGCGGGGCCTCTAGACGGGGCTCGATCGACGGGGCCAGCGGGGCCGAATAAAAAATAATGAAGCGCTCGAGGGCGCTACGGGGGAGGCGCTAAGAACGCGCTCCGGTAGTAGGTAGGTAGTTAGGTAGCGAACGGTGGGCCCTTAGGAACGGTCCTAGAGAAGGACCTGCTCTGAAACCATGTCGTAATAACAGACTGGAATGGCTGTACTAACAGAAGGATGGATACAAATAGGAAACCCTAATCTAGTGTACCCCCTAAGGTATCACCCACTACTGCCTACAATCATATAAACATATAATGTTTGACAAAGACAAGCTACGACTAGGAGTGAAGGGGGGTGTTACGAGTGGTAATGTTTGAGACATTACTGTGCACTCCTAACCGGAGCTAAGGAAGCATGCAGTATCGAGAACGAATACGAGGAGTCAGAACTGACTCGAAGCGTCAGAACGGTTGGGACGGATCCGAACCGTCGGAGCAGACAACATCGGGCAGCTGCAGGCAAGAGGAATTGGCGGGAACAGTTTTCGTAACTGTACGCGCCGCACGGTTGGGAATGAATTTGAAGAAGAAAATGTACCCCTTAGAGTACATGGCTAGCTAGGTCGATTCGAATTCCCTGTATTCTTCTTTATATCGCTGTATTTGCATGTTCTACTCAATGTCAAGCATTTTACATTCACTCTGCTATTGAGATCAAGGGCCCACCAACACTATCTAACTGCGTGCGAACCTTCCCGAGTAGATCCTGGGAGCGATCCCCTTCTGATCGTAGCATATATCACTACGCCCCATTGTGCACACCAACAACAAGAGTCAAGCACATTGATACTGAAGAGCCGCAACTACTGTATCCAACAAATAGGACCTCAAAACATCTAAAACACATTCCATGTTGCACTAAAGCCTTGGATCACCCCTCTACACTCTCCCACCGTCCGTTTTGCGTCACTCGCACAGTAAAAACATATTCACCAGTTGCACCTTATTGTTGCTGTACGAAGGGCACACATGCACAACTCTCTGCAGGCCTTTCAGCTCCACCACCGAGTACCTCACCTTCTCCACCGTTTTGTGCAGCTGCATGCATCCTGTAAGCTTGCATCTCCCCGCCCTCTCATAGTACCGCACGTAGGCGTACCCCTTCCAATCCCCATCACGGTCAACTGCCCTGAAGATGCACAGACATCTTGCATACCAATCCCCACCCTTGTTGTCGAGCAGTGCCACGTCCGAATACCACCTCTCTCGGGGCGACGCCTTCACAAATGTCCCTTTGGGCACCAAATCTCTGCCTCTTGTGCGCGGAATGGCCACTTCCATGTGAACCTGTCTCACAATCCCAACCAATCCAAACCCACAAAAATGCCTTGTAAAACACCGCAAACAGCCGGAACGCTTTGACATGCAAAGCACGCAGCTCTCACGCCTCCCCACTCTTCAATGCACTCTCGTCTGCCACCAGTATCGGCATTATCTGCATCATGCTCCTGTGCTCGAACGTCGCGTAGTTCGCGCCGGAGCTGAAGAAAGATGAGCCCCCGGGGATTCGAGAAGAACGCTGGGGGTGATAAGCTTGAACTCCTTCTTGCGCACAGACAGTGTACGCGTAAGTCAACCATCCACATACATGGTCGCTCAGACTCCCCCCCCCCATTATGAGCATGCAACTCACGCACACCCAATCACATGCAACTCACCGTTCAAGCAGCCGCATCTCAACCTTTCCAAGTGGTTCGATGTAGGTACCCATCATGTGGATCAGCACACTGGAGTCCAGAACGTGCAGTGTGTCTGCCAGGCACGCTAGGTACACGCTTCCCCACTCTGTGTCTGCGAAATTCCACCTGTGAAGCACGCACTGCATAGCACAACTCAACACACAATGTCAACAACACATCCATGCAATATCCAACCCCCATTCAATATACACCATCCAAGCACGCAACGGAAAAGACACCTCTATCGGATGGTTTGACCATAAATTCTTCACATCGTCTGCGTCGCCCTTCTTTGTGCACGCCAGAATCTGGCGAACAATGTCCCTCTGCTTCCCAGGGGTATGTGGATCAGCCTTCCCCACCAGGGTAGTCAACTCCCCCTTCACTGCATAGCAGTTAGCGCAAGGCCGATGAAACCCTTGCTGAAGAGTCGCAGAGGCTCTGCTGGATTCCGGGAAGTCGGCAGGGTATCCATACAGGCAAGGGATCGCCTTGTGCACCTTCGCGTCCGCGTCTGTGCAATAGAAGAAGCGCACTGGCGCACTGCACAGTGCCACAATGCATACATAGTGTTCAAAACCATGAGGATTGGACGCATAAATCAACGCAGTGTTAGTACTGCTTGGGCTGCACCCCCGACGCAACCCGTGTAACTTTATCTTACCCCCTTCCCCCCACCCCCCCCCCCCCCCCCCCCCCCCCCACCCCCCACCCCCCCCCCCCCCCACTACCTCGCAGACTCTCGCATGAGGGGCGCGAGAATGATCTTCAGGGCCTCCTAGAATATGCGCGTCTTCTGTGTAGGCGAGGCCCACTCAGGTGGGAATGGAAGCACCGCAGCCAATGTGTGCCTTGGCTCCACACCTTGCAACTCTTCGGTTATGTTGATGAGTGATATCAGCACTGGCCACGCGTTCTCCGTCCAGTCCGTGATGCCTGCGTGCTAACACTGTATATCAGGACGCCTAGAATGAGTGCCTCATTGTCATTAATCTCCCGCTGCCATGTACAATGCATGGAGATGTGAGCGGGCACAATCCCCAACAACGTTCTGCGTATATACCATTAGACGACTGTGCCCTGATGATTCGCGTACCTGAGCAGCGTGCATCCAATCTCCTGTCTCCGGTCCCTCGAATACCCTATCGTTATTTTTCTTCCTATATATCTTCTTAGGCTTCCAAATAAACCCATTCTTGGCTGAAAAAGTGCGCACCAGCTTCTTGAAAATCTGCGCGTGCGACGTAAATACATGCGTCAGTTCATTTCACTGATCAGAAGGGCGCAGGGTTTAGCGGGACATCGCCATTGGGGTTGGCCGCACGTCGCGTACCAGCTCTGTGTCGCAAAAGTGCAGGAGCAGCTTTTGTTGAATTCCTTTGGGGCCCCGCACCACTATCTCCTCCGTCTTCCACGGGACCATATCGGCGGGAGCTCGCGCCATGCCTCATCGTCGTAGATCCACCCAGTTGCGCCATCATCTGAGTGCCCTAAGGTTGAAGCGCGGGTTGCGGAAAATGTGTAGCAGACGGTTAACTTCCCTATGCGACAGATCGGCGTCTCGGAAAAAGAGGTACAACTCCGTAAGTGTATCAAAAATCTCACTCCTCTCGCTGCCTTCTGAAGAAGCGGCGCCATCGCCGTCAGATGGTGTATCCGCATCGCCGACCAGGCTAACTTCGGGGATGGAAGCTGTCGGAGCAACGGAAACAAAACTGCCATCTTCGATTTTTAAGCCTCGATGCCGGTGGGGTGTTCGGTCTACTCTCTCCGTCGCACGCAAGGGCTTCCAAATAGGCTGCCCACAAAAGGCCCTCCCGCTTTCTCTTCAACTCCTCACAAAAAATTGCCCCATTAGCTACATGAGACTGTAACCTGCTGTCGTCCTTGAACACCGTCTTGCACACCCTGCAACTATTCCCCGTCATCGTAGAGCCGAGAAACCCTAGGGATCTACGGGGTGATGAACACACTCCGTAACTCTGGGGCACTCTAATGCATGACAGATGTTTAGCATTCTGCACACACAGGTGCAAGAAGACGTGAGCAGTGTGCACGGATCGGTGTTTAGTGTGTTACACGTAATGGTACCACTACCTTTCGCTAATAACGTTTAGATGTTAAACAATTTTTTCCAAGAAATCTTATTCATGTAAAACATAAAGTTTAGTTTAGTTTAGAACAACTATCGAAATAAAAATCATACGGGAAATATATTGGGTATTTTAAACCAACTCGCAACCACAAAACCATAATAAGGGGTTACACTACAACGTGGCAACTCTGTACAATAGGTTGAAAATACATTGGTGGTGTACTGTCAGCGGTTGGACGCACAAACAGTGCACGCTAATAATCATGAAATCAAGCCGACAATGATTTTGCACAACACTTCATCAACCCCGTTAGATAGTACACCTAGGTTCGAAACCGGGTACAACGACAAGTTATTGGGTAGACTCGGCGCGCGACTGAAACATTACGACCCACGTTATCCCTAACGCGTACGTCATTCCTGATTTTCGCATCATTCGGATTCCATAACAAAGACTGAACCATATACACCAGAGCACCCTCAATTTGATGCATCGAGTTGGTAACCCGCCAAACCCTCCGACCACAAAATCCGAAACCCTAGGCGTTGCACACGTGGATATGCATGGCAAGGAACCATCACATCCAGTTGAGTTGCCGCATCACACTTGGTAATCGCATGTGCGTTAGCGCCACCGGTGTAGATCATATACTGGCATGACAGACGAGGGTTACGCCTTGTTCTCTCCGACCATTTGATAGTACCCTTATCGCGAGCTCACAGACTAGCTCTCTTCATCTTTCAATCTCTCCTCCGTCTTCACTTTACTCATCTGTGTCCATTCCTGATGGCGAAGCCTAAACAGTTATCGACTAAGCGCAACAGGTTCTACCAAACCGAGACTAGCAGCAGCTCTGATGACCAAGATCCTGCGCCGCCGGTCACCAGATCCAGGGCGCTGATCAAGGCCGAGTCTAATGTGGACACTCCTGCTCCGACCGGGCAGAATAAGGACTCCGGAAGGGCTAAGAAATTCGCGACTCACACGGAGGAGATGGCGCGTGAGCCGGTGCCGGACGACCTGGTTGCCTTCATCGCACGGAATTATCTCAAGGCATCGTATAGCAACATGATTCTGATGAATCACCGCGGTGTCGGGTGTGAGGTGGATAAGGACGACCTGATGTCGATCGAGGACGATCAGTGGATTACAGATGGTGTGGTCAATTTTCACAACGTGTGAGTGTCATACCGTCAGGCACCTGTTTTGTGCATTGGTGCTGACTATTTGGACCTGTGGTATCTGATGTTATCATTTGTATGTGTATATGCATTTGCAGGCTGCTTAGCATCCGGAAGCAGAAGCTCCGTGACGGGAAGACATGGGCTGCCATGGACTGCAAGGCTTACACACAGACGAACGCGTATGGAGCACCTTTAACGCTGGGACACGGGCTCCCGTTACTGGAGCACGATTATCTGGCCATCCCTGTGCTGGAGGCGTGAGTATTGTGCATATATGGTTAGTACGCGAGGTATGTAGAGTGCCACGGATGACTGTCTAACCTACATCCCAACAACCCCTCTCATGTTGAGTGCAGTGCCCACTACTCGCTCGTCATCGCGATATCTCCATTTGTGCTCAACAACGACGCAAAATCAGGCGGCAAAGAGCGTCTGAAGTTGGTCTTGTTGGACAGTGGCATCAAGACGAGGAATACCGCAAGATTTTTGCAGGCACCAAGCTGTGAGTCCGTCTTTCTACGGCGATGTACTATGTACTTGTACAGCAATTGTTCATATCGGTTCTGGTGAGTACCATGCAGTGTGCTATCGGAACTCGCCAAGGCGAGTAACCCTTATGCGAACATGGAGCGTGTAGACAAGCAGCTCTTGGAGGCGGATTGCATAATACTACGGGTGAGCACAGTTGTGCGTTTGCGCACACCAGTGTGCGAATTGTTTATACATGTGAACAGCAAGCTCACCGTAGTATGCGTTCACTGAATTGCGGGAGGATAGGCTGCCACAGCAGCCTAACAAGGCGGAATGTGGGATTTTTGTGTGTCAGTACCTCAGGACCCTGGTAAATACCGACTTCACTACACTCTTGAGCGGTCTCTGGTTTCAAGGGGTAACACCGCACCAATAACGGCGGGAGATGCGGCGCGACTTGTGCGCGCACGCGTGTGGAGATCTTATACGGCAGCTGGAAGAACTGGGGATTGAAATCCCTCCGCAGGACGCAAGCCGGGTTACGGATGAGGGGGCAGTGGTGCAGGAGAGGAACGCTAGATTGGGAGTTGAGAGGCAAGCACCGGACACTTACACCGTAGAGGACGCACGGGTTACGGAAATGGCGAGGGATGTGGCGACCCTGAAGAACGATGTGCGGTACCTGGACGCGAGTGTCATGGTCATGGCCAACTTTGTCGGATTAAGGCGGGATGAGGTGGTGGTGTCCGCTGCAACCCAACTACTGCTGCATGGTAGTCGCGTGGGGCCTGGCGGGAAAGCTGAGGCGGGTGGCACCAAGAATGCTCCACGCACTCCACAGCGTCCGTCTGGCAGTATGAGGCGGGATGACAGCAGTCATGAGGAGGATGGCGTACGCAATGCCACCCGGGTTGCACTGGACTCCTCGTTCGCTGCATGTGACCCGCCAGCACGCATGCTGCAGAACCCTCTGCTGATGCACGGGACCATACCTCACTGGATGTTCACACGCGGGAGACAGCTGCTCGGGGTGACTGTGCCGGCAGCTGAGGCGTGGGGAGATACGCGAGGGCATGAGGCGGTGAAGGCAGACCAAGAAGAGGACCTAGTGTCAGACACAGAAGACGAGGATGATGACGAGGATACGTGTGCCACCAAATGCACCGGAGTGAAGATGGAGAAAGCATCCAGCAAGTTCGACGTGAAGATCCTGATTAAGAAAAAAGGGAAGCGTAAGCAACAGCGGCTGGGAGCATACACATCTATCGACGAGGCCGCGTACGCGTATGCCGCAGGTGCGTGCGTGCTGAGGCCACGAGAGAAGATACCCAACACGGTAACCTTGACAGCAGCAGAGAAGGCGCTGCTGCGTGGATGCACCAAGGAGGATCTGCAGATCCTCGTTGAGGCGCGGAAGTGGTGGAGGTGGAGGAGCTGGCGGAATGCGCTGGAGAGCGTAAGCAGCAACCCTAAACGCGGGAGGTAGCGGGGGGTAGCAAGTGGTACATCAAAGAGGCAGAGGGTGGTGGAGAGGAACAACATGGCGGCGAACGAACCAGAGGACCCTAGCAATGCTGAGAGTGGGGGAACGGCCCCCGTGCTCAACGACAACGGCGTTTGTGCAAGGAACAACGACCAGGAAGAGCATGTGGAAGAAACTGATGCACATGAGCCGCCGTCTAACCCTGCTGCATAGGGGATGTGCAGGCATATTACAGTTGAGACAAGTCGGTTAAATGGGCTGTTGGTGTGCATTGTACTTCGAGGGTTGTAGGGCTTCATATTGCTGGATTGTACGCATGTTTCATGAATGCGATGGCGCGAGCGTAATTAGTGTGGCCGCTGTGTATTATGCATAAGTTGGAATAAGGTGGAATTGTCAGAAGAAGAGACTGGAATGGTTGAACTAACAGAGAAATCAGTACAAATAGCAAACCCTAGAATTGTGTACCCCATATAGGCTAACCCACTATAGCCTAACAAACCCAACATATATAATGTTTGACACACCCCCATAGGCAAAGTGGGGGAGACCTAAGGGTCACAAGACCAGTCAAGGCAAAGCAAGGCATCAGCAAGCTCAGGGTGGATCTCGAGGATTCCACACAAATTCCGAGCACAAGCTAGTGGTCACAAGACCAGTTCACATGCAGGTTTATAACAGAGCCAGAGATACAGTGATCACAACCTAGCAAGAGTAAACATGCAGGTATAGATATATATAGTGATCACAGTACAAGCAAAGTCAAGAGGTAAGCAAGTGAGGTCCAGTAGGCACAAGGCCTAGTAGAGTGCAGAAGCGCTGATGGTCACGAGGCTGAAGCGCCTTGGTGAACACATCAGCAGTGTTGGCCTCAGTGGCCACGTAGCGAATACAAAGCTGACCGCGCTGCTGCAGCTCTCGAGCAAGGAAGTACCGCAGGGCGATGTGCTTCGTTCTGTGCTCCAGTCTGTGCTCCTCACACAAGGCAATGGCAGCCTTGTTGTCGACGTACAGTACTGGAGGAGAACGAGGCGGCTCTCCGAGGTCAGTCAGCAGGTAGGTCAGCCAGCGTAGCTCCTGGGCAGCCATGGCTGTAGCGTAGATCTCAGCCTCGCAACTGGAGCCGAGAACAGAAGAAGAGCGTGTAGAGCGCCAAGAAACTGAGCCAGAGCCAAGGCTGAAGGTGTAACCCTGAGACGACCGCTGAGTGGCCTGGTCGTCTGCCCAAGAAGCGTCTGAGTGCCCTGTGAGCACAACTCGGTCTCGCCCTCCAAGCACAAGCCCCATGCCCGACGTACTGCACAAGTAGCGCAACACCCTCTTAGCGGCATCCATGTGCTCCTTCCTGTGACGGCCAGGAGCGACATAGCGTGCAAGGATGCTAAGAGGGTATGCAAGGTCAGGTCGAGTGCAGGTCATCAGGTACATGAGGCAGCCCACAAGCTCTAGATACGGGCCACTCGGCTCTACGGACTCATCCGAAGGCAGAGCTGAGAGCGAGTGACCGGTAGGCAGAGGAGTGGACTGAGGCGAGGAGTACGTGAAGCGGAAGCGCTGGAGAACCTGCTGCACCATGTGTGACTGAGTCAAGGTGATGGTGCGCCGTGCTCTGTCCCGGGTGATCCGCAAGCCAAGATAGCTTGTCAGCTCACCCAGGTCTGTGCACGTGTGTCTCCTCTGCAGCTCCGACTTCACGTAGGCGAGTCCTGCAGTGTCAGCAGTGGCAAAGACCAAGTCGTCGACGTACACGAGGATGTAGAACGGCGGCAGCGAAGTGTCGGTGCGCAGGAACAGCGACGGGTCAGCTGTAGAAGGCGCGAACCCAAGAGCCGCAAGTGTAGTCCTCAGTGTGTCGTGCCACTCACGCGGTGCCTGGCGGAGACCGTAGACCGGCCGCTGAAGCCTCCACTGGGTACCAGGAGGAAACGACCCAGTGAAGCCAGGTGGGCGGCGCAGCCAGATCTCCTCGTGCAGGCTGCCCTGCAAGAAAGCAGTGCTGAAGTCAAGTGAGTGAAGCTCGTAGTCGCGGTGAGCGGCTATGTGCAGCAGCACCCGAAGAGTAGTCATCTTCGGGGTGGGGGAGAAGGTCTGGAAGAAGTCAACTCCCTCTCGCTGACTGAAGCCTCGAGCCACGTAACGCGCCTTGAAGACAGGCGGAGAACCCGGCGGCCGCTTCACCCTGAAAATCCACATGCCACTGACGATGTTCGCCCCAGGAGGGGGAACCTCGTCGACGTAGGTGCGTGTGGACTTCCAGGAAGCCATCTCTGCGTCCATAGCTGTCTGCCACTGAGAGGAGTAGGGACCTGCCATCGCCTCTGCGTAAGAGCGCGGGGTCGGGATGTCTGGTGCATCCGGGTCTCCCTCAGGGGCAACTAGCAAGGACACGAGACGGGGCAAAGCAGCAGCAAGACACTGGAACTCCTCCTGTCTGTCCTCAAGGACGTCCGTGCCAAGAGCACACTCACCCCCGACGGACGGAGGACAGACAAACTCAGACTCAGACTCAGCAACAAGGCTAGCAGCGTAGTCTAGACGACAGGCAGCAGCAAAGTCAACCAACTCAGCGACCAGAGCAGACGCAGCCGAGGACTCAAAGGTAGGGTCAGTGACAACAGTAGCGAGGAGACGCGTGACAGTAGGGTGCTCAGCACGATACCGGTCAGACTCAGGGTCCGGAACGTCAGGCAAAGAGGACGCAGGAGGTGACGGTAGAGGGACACGCTGAGGAGCAGTAGAGGGACGCAGAGTCATGTAGTGAGTGCCTGGGACAGGAGGAGGATGCTCACGACGGACACGACTACCAGTGCGAGCAGGACGAACAGGCGACGCAGGACGAGACTCAGGCTCACGACGCTCTGTAAGACCTCCTGTGGGACCAGTGTAAGGAGAGGGAGCAGGGAGAGGCGAGGTAGGCGGTAACTGTGACTGCGGCTGGACAGGCGGAGGACACTCTACGGAGGGAGGAGGACAAGGAGGAGGAGCCTGCCCAAGAACCTGCTGAAGGAGCGGTACGAAGTACGGTCGCGGCCGCGCAGCGTCTCCAGAAGCAGAGGAGACTCCAGCGGCCGGGTCCTCAGGACCAGTAGGAGCTCCAGCGTCCGGGTCCACAGCACCAGCAGCAGCTCCACCGGCCGGGTCCTCAGCACCAGTAGTAGCTCCAACGCCCGGGTCCTCAGCAGCAGCAGCAGCGCCACCGCTCGGGTCCTCAGCTCCAGCAGCAGCGCCACCGCTCGGGTCCTCAGCACCAGCAGCAGCTCCACCGTCCGGGTCCTCAGCACCAGCAGCAGCGCCACCGCCCGGGTCCTCAGCTCCAGCAGCAGCTCCAACGTCCGAGTCCTCAGTACCAGCAGCAGCTCCACCAGGCGGGTCCGCAGCACCAGCAGCAGCTCCAACGTCCGGGTCCTCAGCACCAGCAGCAGCGCCACCCCCAGGGTCCGCAGCACCAGGAGCACCACTCCGAAGACTGCAGCGCCGTGTGTACCACTCGCGGATCTGCTGAATGGGGGGGAGCTCCTGGGTAGGAGGGGAAGTACCGGGACGAGCTCCAGCAGCACCTCTCTGGAGGCGGCAGTACTCGAGGTACCTCTCCTGCAGCTGCTGGGAGGAGAGGGCTCCTCCAGGTGTAGCAAGCTCAGGCTCAATACCCCCAGACTCAACACCCCCAGACTCAGCACCTCCAGGCTCCGCACCTCCAGACTCAGCACCCCCAGGCTCAGCACCCCCAGACGCAGCACCCCCAGGCTCAGCACCCCCAGACGCAGCACCCCCAGGCTCAGCACCCCTAGCAGGACGAGAGTCAACAGCTACCTCGACAGGCGAGTCGGGAAGGGGAGGGAGCACCCTGGGAAGACCAGCAACAAGGTCCCGCTGGTGCATGGCCCGAAGGCGCTGCACAGACGGGTGACCAAGGCGGTGGTGCCAAAGGACAGTCTCATGTGCCAGAGAGCGACACGAGCAGGGGGCGGACAGCTGACCTGATGCAGACGCAGACGCAGCTACCTGAGGGGACACAGTGGTCAGTGTGTAAAGGTCCGACCCCGGCTCCCGAGTGAAGGTAGCCAGGTGGCGACCCGTCCGAGCACACGTGCAGTGTGTCACGCGCTCGTAGGCAGGGGTGAACTGGTGAACACCCCCGTCCTGGAGCGCACTACCTGCCACCAAGTTCGTAGAGAACGAGGGGAGGTAGAGACCTGACAGCGTGCCGGACGGGACCGCCGGACAAGGAAGGACAGTGGAGGAGGTCGCAATGACCGGACCCCCAGAGGGGTCAGCAAGGGAGACAGCAACTGGCCGAGCGAGGGGCTCAAGGACAGTGCGGTCACGAAAGAAAGAGCGAGAAGCACCTGAGTCCAGTGTGAAGGTGTGCAGTGCTGCAGTCGACTCAGTACCAGGGGGCACAGACGCACTAGCACCTAGGGCAGCAGCCTCACCAGGACCTGCGGGAGCGGACGCACTAGCACCTAGAGCGGCAGCCGGACTGGCCTGAATACCCGGGTCGGGCGGAACACGCAAGTACTGGGCACCCTCTCCACTAATAGACATCGCATACATAGCAGTGAGAATAGCATCAAAGTCTAAAGCCCAAATATCAACGCCCCTCTTTTCCAGCTCAGGCCAGCGCGGCAGCTCAGCGGCAGTAGGAAACTGGGTGCGCCACGCGTCGGTAAGGCGGGCGAAGCAGCGCTGCGTGGGGTGCGGCCTCCCACACTGCTGGCCGCTGCGGTCACCTGTGCGAATGACGTACGTGCAGGTAAAGCCACGCTGCGCATACCACTCACGGGCGGCCTGAAGCGTCGGGGCGGACTGCTGACTCTGCCCTCCGCCAGTGCCCCCACGACCACCACCCCCTCCGCCTCCGCCCCGGCCACCTCCACCCCTGCCGCCACCACGACCACCTCCGCCTCCGCTGCCGCCTCCGCCCCTGCCACCACTCCCGCCGCTGCTGTCGCCTCCCCCACTACCGCCACTAGCCTCCTCAGCCGCGCCTCCACTCCCACCGC